ATTATTAAAACATCATAAAATTTCATTGATAACAATTAATTCATTAAAATCATTGTCACGTGATATATGTTTTACTGCATTTGATTTTTTTGTTATCAATAGACAACTATTTCTAACGAGTCTATCACTAATAGTATCCTATTCTGTAATTATAATACAATCAAACATTTAAAATAATTAATAATTTAATTGTATTTATTGATTATTATTTATTGATGATTATTATTTTATCAAATATACTTTTAATCAGTAATTATTTTGATTTATTTATCAATATTTTATTACAGTATATATATAAATAAATAATACAAATATGATTTCAAAAAAGTTTCAATTATAATCAATAATAATATTTTATTATAATTTATTTACTTTATATACTATATAAAATATTTACTATTTGTAATAATTTTACATTTAATTTGTCTTAATGAAAAATAGTTGAATAAATCAATTTAAAAAAATAAAGTAATCATTGTTTATAAATAATTATATTTAGAAATTTGTTTATTATAATTATGAAATAAATTAATAGTTACAAATGTTTTGACAAATAAAAAAAGCAAAATTATTTAAAAATTTAAAAATTAATTTTATTTATAAAAATCATTATAAAGCTAAATATTAATTGAGTTTACAGTTTATGATTATAATAATACTAATTAAATTCTAATTAAACAATAATAAATTATAATAATTAAAAACAATAATAAATTATAATTAGTAAAAATAATAATAATAATAATAATAATCATCATTATTAATGTACTAAATATTAGTTTGTATTAGTATAACAACATATGACAGTATTAATGCTAAACATTTTATAAACAATTTTCTATTAATTACGAAAAAATCATATCCAGTAAAACACATATCACTGGACATTGATTTTAATGCTAGAATTGTATTAATATTATTATCATTGAAATGATTATGATAACAATTATTTTCAAGTTTATCAACTAACCTATGATAACTATAAGGTATAATATTGCATGAATAAATTAGACTAATAAATTGTACTAGCTCATCCAATATAACTAGACAACTTAAAAATATCCTAATTGGTTTGCTATCATTGTTTAGAAAAAATAAATTAGTCAAATCAAATATCAATCGTATAGTCAACAATGTTAGCGTAATAAAATTGTTTAGCTTGATCAATTTGTCAAATTTTTGTACATATTGTTTCAATTCTATACAATATTGATGGATATATTTTACGGTAAATTTATCCAAATTATTGCTTATGTAATGTAATTGTTGACAAATTATCGATGATTTATAGCCTATAAGTGTCGACACCAGTAGCTTATCGCTGACAGCACAGGTAAGTATAATGCCTAATAGGAATTCACTGATTGTTACCTCATAGCCACATAGTTTCAGACCCAACAGTCCAATCATATTCAGTATTATGCATAGCATAGCCGTTATAACTACTACTGCAATACCGGTACGTGTTTCCCGTCTATCGCTAACATATTGATGATCGCGACCACTGATCAATAGGTCGACAATTTGTCGTCCATTCAACAATAGGGTCAACAATGAACTCACGGTTTGTATAATATATGTCATATGAGCGCAGGTATGCAATAGTTGTAGAAATTGATATTTATGTCCAGTATTTTTAGTATTAATACTGGTAGCATTAATATTATTGAATAAAGTATCCAGTATGTTTTTCAAATAGATTAATACAATTGCTACTAAACATATAATGTTTATTAGTAGCCTGATACATTTATTGATAGTTGATGATAGTGATTTATTATTATTATTATTATTGATATGATAACCAAAGTAGGGATTACCAGTGTATTGAATGTATTTAATTAATATTAATAATCCCTGAGATTTAGACATTTTTAGATATTTTTTAAATAAAATTTATATAAAACAATAAACTTAAAAATTTTGATTTAAAATATATGTCAAAAAGCTATATGTTGAAATAATAAAATAATAACTTAAATACATTAACGTAACAAAAAAATTTTAATAATATTAATAGATATTATGTTTTGTATATATAAATTATTTACATAAAACTATTAATATTCTATTAAAATATTAATATTTTTATGTAAATAATTTATATATATATATATATATATATATATAAAATCACTAATACAAATATTAAATAGTATTTACATATTTTTTAGTAACATTTTGTTATTTTGTATAATTTATTTTTCTAAAAATAAAACCTATAAAATCGATAAATAAACAATTTTATTAATTAGTAAATTAATTAAATTATTTAATAACATGAAAAAAATTGAATAAAAGTAATAAAATAACTAAAAAAAAGTTAATATTTTTAATCTATTAGTTAGTTAATTATATAATATTATTATAAATTTTTTTGTATATTTTAAATCAAATTTTTTATTTATAAATAAACATTTTATAGAAAACTTCATAAATATGATAATAATAAAAATAATACACATTTTTTTTTAAATTTGATTAAAATGTTTGACAACATTTTTTTTTTAAATTATATAAATATTATAAATAATTTTTTTATACAATAATCATTTTATTAACATTAATATAATTAAAAATTTATCAATAACAAAAAAATATAATCTAACTTAAATATTAGTTTGTATGAGTATAACAACATAGGATAAAATTAATGAAAAACAATTTAAAGATAATTGTCTATTAATTGGGAAAAAATTAAAAGCAGTAAAACACATATCACTAGACATTGATTTTAATGCAAGTAATGTATTAACTATTTTATTATTATTATTATCATCATCATAATTATTATTAATTTTATTTTCTAATTTATCTAGTAAATTATGATAGCTACTAGGTATAATATTGCATGCATAAATTAAGCTAGTAAATTGAACTAGTTCATCTAATATATCTGATAAACTTAGTATCAATGAATCAAATTTGTTATATTTAATGAAAAATAAATTAGTAAAATCAAATATCATTCGAATTGTCAAAATTGTCAAGGTAATAAAATTTGTAACCCGGACCAATTTATCAAATTTTTGAACATATTGTTTCAATTCTATACAATAACGATAGATATATTTTACGTTAAATTTATCTAAATTATTGCTTATGTATAGTAATTGTTGGCTAATTATTGAGGATTTATAGCCTATAAGTGCCGACACCATTAGCTCATCGTTGATAGCACAGGTAAATACAATGGTTAACATGTATTTACTAAATGTCAGTTGAAAGCCATATAGTATCACACCTAACAGTTCAATAAGCAGTGGTATTATGGATAGCATAGCCGTTATAACTACTACTGCAATACCGATACGTGTTTCGCGTCTATCGCTAACATATTGATGATTGTGTCCACTGATCAATAGGTCGACAATTTGTCGTCCATTCAACAATAGGGTCAACAGTGCAGTCATGGTTTGTATAACATATACTATATGAATACATGTTTGCAATAGTTGTAGAAATTCATATTTACGACTAATTTGTTTTCCAGTATTACTATTATTATTATTATTATCGGTATAATTATCTGATAAAATTATCATGATGCTTTTTGAATAGCATAATAGTATTGTCATCAAACATATTATGTTTACTAGTAGCCTGATACATCTATTAATTTTTGTTGATAAACTGTTATTATAATTATTAGTATTATTAATATGATAACCAAAATATGGATTACCAGTGTATTGAATGTATTTAATTAATATTAATAATCCACGAGATTTAGACATTATTTTTTTTTATTATTATTTAATTAAAATATTTATACTTTTTATTTATAATTTTTATATTATTGTATAAATAAAATTATACATAAAATGTTTTTTAAAAAAAATAATATTTCATTAACATTTTTAAAACTATTATTATTATTTAAATTTTGATTTTAATATTTTTAATTGACAAACTAATATATATATACATTAAATATTATTATTTTTTTTAAATTAGTCATAAACAATTATTTTTTTATTTAATTGAATTATTATATTAAATATTGTACAATTAAATACTGTAACAAATAATCATTTTTTATTTAATCCTAGTAATTGATACTATTTTTACTAACATAAATATAATTTAGTACAACTATAATATATTATGTTATTTCAAAAAAATAAATTAATTTAATTAAATTATTTTTTTATTATATATTTTATTTACCAAAATGTAGTCTTATTTACATTAATATTGTTATATAAATTAAATTATTATTTACAAAAATTTACAATAAAATAGAAATACTGTTTCTTTTAGTATCAATTAATCAATAAAAATATTTTAACATAATTTATATAAATTTATATTTATAAATAAAATTGTTTGCTATAGATCGATATTTGAAATATAAATTTAATATATTGTAAATATATTATTTAAATGCTATTAGCAAAAATAATATATTAGTATTATTATGCTATTATAAATTTTAATGATATTTAATACAACAAAAATTATTAAAAAATTAATTTTTTTTAAATATACTACCAATTGTTATTTATTTATAAATTTTTGATTTATTATAATTATTACATTTTCTAAAAAAACATTAATTTTTTAAATATTATACATATATTATCTAGTAGTTTAAACATATTAAATATTTTATTCAATATATTTTTTAAAATTTTAATAATTAATATTTTTGTAAAAAAATTTTTAATTTTTATAGAAAAAATATCTATAATAAATTGACTAATATTTTAATTATATATATATATTTATTTATTTAAAATCAAAATTTTTTAACTGTATTAAGCAATTGTATAAAATGTTTAAATAAAGATATTTTTTTTTTAAATTAATCAAAAATTATATATACTGTAAATGTATTTGAAATTAATATCAAAAAATAAATTCTAATTCATAGTAAATATTCATTTAATTAAAAAAACTGCCATTTTTTACAATACATTTAATTAATTAGTATTTTTATCATAACTTAAGTACATTATTAGTATTAATATTTTTGTTTCTAGTAATGTATTAAAACAAACCAAAAAATATGTCAAAATTTACTGTATTTTTCATAATTGTTATTACATTGTTAGGTAAGAAAACTTATTTAATTGAAAAAACAATATATATATACCGTATATATACATAGAGTCTAAATTACTTATTAATTATAAGTCAAATATTATATATATATTTTTTAAATTTAATAAATAATATTTATATATATATATATATATATATATGTATATTAATTAATTAAATATAGCATATTGAATTAAATAGCTTATTGCATAATTATATTTATTGTTATACTGTATATATATATATATATAGTTATAATAAATATTTTTGTTATAATTTTTGCTTGGTTTTAATATTATATAAGTTGTAATAAATGTTCATGGTCAAGTTAATTTTGGAAAACAACTTTATCAACAAGCTGTTAAAAATAAAAATACAAGTAATCATTTTTTTAAAAAATTATATTTTTATTAGATAAATTACTAAAAAATTATTTTTTTTTAAATTTATTTAATTATTATAAATAACTTTTATATTAATTTTATATATATATATATATATATATAGAATTATTAACCAAAATGTGCAAGCCAAAACTTGATAAATGTCAACAAAAAGATAAATGTTTACAATATTATTGTCAACATTTGTTTGATAGTTGTATGACTGGCCAGAAAACATCAATGGATCCGATAATGTGTACCAAAAAATCAGGTATAAAAATAAATAAATATATTTAATAATACTATTTATAATATATATATATATATATAAAATTTAGACAAAAAAATTATAATATAATAGCATTCTATAAAAAATATCTATAATTTAATTAATTTAGTTATATTATAGATTTTAATTTGTTTTTTTAATTAATTATTATTTATATTTTATATTATATTTTAATTTGTTTTTTTAATTAATTATTATTTATATTATATATATATATATATATATTAATTATTTATTTTATTTTATTTGTTTTTTTTGTGTTTAGTGCAAAAATTTTTAGATAATGGTGGATTAGGCTATGATATTAGCCTAGATAGTGATCAATGAATATCTGTAATTAATTATTCAACAGTTAACTAATATAAACATATTAACAATTATATAATTATTATTTTCTAAAATTAAATAATTTTCAAAAAAAAATAAAAATCTAAACTATTTTATTAAATTTAATACAAAATAAAAAAATAATTTTTAATAAACTGTATTGATTGATTTTTATTTATATTTTTTTTTATTTAAACAATTTAGACATTAAATTATTATTATAAAATATACATTAATAAAAATTTTAAACAATCATGTTTGTTGTTAAACATTTTAATAAAACAATTTTATAAATAAATTATATAACAAATATATAATTAATAATATATATATATATATATGTATGCTTTAATTAACATTGCTAATTCATTTATTATATTAAATATTTAATTGAATATAATTAATAAAATAAAGTAAATACAATTATAATTATAAAAGTGATATCAATTTTATTTGACATAGAGTAATAAATATATTTAAAATATGTAAATGTTTTATAAATAAATAAAATTAATTGAATTTTAATACAATAAACACAAAAAAATTTTAGTTATTTTTAGATAAAAAAACTAATTGTAATAACTATTAAAATTTTTCTGAAATAATTAAATGAAGTAATTAATAAAATATTTTTATTATTAAAAAAGCCAAAATTATTAATCATAATTAATATTAATTGAATTATAAGTTTGACAATTTTTATGATTACAATAATAATAATATTATTTATAATAATTAAAACAATAATTAATTATAATAAATAATTAATGATTACTAAATATTAGTTTGTATAAGTATAACAACATAGGATAAAATCAATGATAAACATTTGAAAAACAATTGTCTATTGATTGTGAAAAAATTAAAACCAGTAAAACAAATATGACTAGTCATTGATTTTAATGCAAGTAATGTATTAACTATTTTTTTATTATTATTATTATCATTATTATTATTAATTTTGTTTTCTAATTTATCTAGTAAACTTTCATAGCTACTAGGTATAATATTGCATGCATAAATTAAACTAGCAAATTGTACTAGTTCATCTAATATTTCTGAGAAACTTAATACTATTGTAACTGGTTTATTATAGTTGGTTAAAAATAAATTAGTTAAATCAAATATCATTCGAATTGTCAAAATTGTCAAGGTAATAAAATTATTAACCCGGACCAATTTGTCAAATTTTTTAACATATTGTTTCAATTCGATACAATATTGATGGATATATTTTACGGTAAATTTATCTAAATTATTGCTTATATAATGTAATTGTTGACTAATTATATAGGATTTATAGCCTATCAGTGCCGACACCAGTAGCTTATCAGAGACACCAATAGTAAATACAACGGTTAATAGGTATTCAATTAGTGTCAGTTGATGGCCATATAGATTCAGACCTAACAGTGCAATCAGGTTTGGTATTATGCATAGCATTGCCGTTATAACTGCTACTGAAATACCGGTCAGTGTTTCGCGTCTATCGGTAACATATTGATGATCGCGTCCATCGATCAATAGGTCGACAATTTGTCGGCCATTCAATAATAGGGTCAACAATGAACTCACGGTTTGTACAATATATGTCATATGAGCGCAGGTATGCAATAGTTGTAGAAATCTGTATTTATGTCCAGTATTTTTAGTAGTAATATTTGTAGCGGTAGTACTATTAAATAATGTATCCAGTATGTATTTCAAATAACATAATAGTATTGTCATCAAACATATTATGTTTAGAATTAGCTTGATACATTTATTAATTGTTGATGATAATTTATTATTATTATTATTTTGATTATTATTATTAATATGATAACCAAAATATGGATTACCAGTGTATTGAATGTATTTAATTAATATTAATAATCCCTGAGATTTAAACATAATTTTTGATTTTTTTTAAAAATTATATTATAAATTAAATTTTCATAGTATAAAGTTATAACATAAATTTACTTGATAACATGTTTTTTTGGTTTCAATTTAAATAATTATTTATCTAACAATCAATAATAATAACAAATATCATATAACAAAATTTTTTAATAATAAGATTATTTAACATTTAGATATTTTATTCACAAATACTATTTAAATTATTTAATAAACTACAGTATTATAAACAAATTTTAAATAAACAAATTTTTGTTTCTGATTAATTGAATAGATTTTAGTAATAAAACAATTTTTTTAATTAAGTAATTATTTTGAAAATATTGACAAATAAATAAGTTTAATCTAATAATACAAATATAATACCATATATTTTATTATTATGTCTATTTAAATATGCACTTTCATAAACTAAATAAATTAATATAATTAAATTTATTTTTTTATAAAAAATGATAAAAAAAGAAAAATAAATTCATAATTTTCATAAAATGTTAAATTATTTACATTAAAATTGTTTCTTTTTTAATTTAAATACTGTAACTAATATTAGTTTTTTATATTAATGTTTATTTAATTAATGAAAATAAAATAAACAAATGAAACATTTTACACAATATAACACAATATATTTTATTATGATTAATATAATTAAAAAAAATTACAACAATTTATCAACAATAAAAAAAATTTAATTAAACTAAATGTTAGTTTGTATGATTATAGGAAAATAAATCAATGATAAAAACAATTATTACTTTTAAAAAACAATTGTCTAGTATTTGTAGTCTAGTTATTATTGAGATTGTATTAATTAATAAAACAAATATTATTAGTTAAATATACAATACTATATAATAATAATAATAAATATTTAAAAATAATATAGTTAACAAATAATCTTCAAAATTCAAAATTATTTTTCAAAGTTTTAAACATTGAAATAGTAAGTAAATAATTACATATAAATATACAATATTAACAAAAATATTATTTTTTATTATTATTGATCTAACATTTTGATGTTTGAACTAAAATGTTTGACAAAATAAAATTATTAAAAAAAAAATATTTATATATATAAAATAATGATATAAATAAACAAATATTTATACAGTAGTCATATTATTTAAAATACAATATTATAATAAAAATAATTAAACTAAATGTTAGTTTGTATGAGTATAACAACATAGGATAAAATAAATGATAAACATTTTAAAAACAATTGTCTATTGATTGGGAAAAAATTAAAACCAGTAAAACACATATTATTTGAAATTGATTTTAATGCAAGTAATGTATTAACTATTTTATTATTATTATCATCGTTATTATTAATTTTATTTTCTAATTTATCTAGTAAATTTTCATAGCTACTAGGTATAATATTGCATGCATAAATTAAAAAAGTAAATTGTACTAGTTCATCTAATATATCGGAAAAACTTAGTATTATTCTAATTGGTTTATTATAATTGGTTAAAAATAAATTAGTAAAATCAAATATCATTCGAATCGTCAAAATTGTCAAGGTAATAAAATTATTAACCCGGACCAATTTGTCAAATTTTTGAACATATTGTTTCAATTCTATACAATATCGATAGATATATTTTAGGGTAAATTTATCTAAATTATTGCTTATGTAATGTAATTGTTGGCTAATTATTGAGGATTTATAGCCTATAAGTGCCGACACCAGTAGCTTATCGTTGACAGCGAAAGTAAATACAATGGTCAACATGTAGTCAATTAGTGTCAACTGATAACCATATAGTATCAGACCTAACAGTTCAATCAGTGTTGGTATTATGCATAGCATTGCCGTTATAACTACTACTGCAAAACCGGTACGTGTTTCGCGTCTATCGGTAACATATTGATGATCGCGTCCACTGATCAATAGGTCAACAATTTGTCGTCCATTCAACAATAGGGTCAACAATGAACTCATGGTTTGTATAATATATGTCATATGAGCGCAGGTATGCAATAGTTGTAGAAATTGATATTTATGTCCAGTATTTTTGCCAGTATTACTAGTTGCTGTAAAATTATCTGTTAATGTATCCAGTATGTTTTTAAAATAACATAATAGTATTGTAATAAAACATATTATGTGCAGTATTAGCCTGATACATTTATTAATTGTTGATGATAATTTATTATTATTGTTATTATGATAATTATTATTAATATGATAACCAAAATATGGATTACCAGTGTATTGAATGTATTTAATTAATATTAATAATCCATTAAACTTATACATTATTTTTAAAAAATAAAATAAAAATATATACTAATATTAATTATAAATTTTATTAATATATCAATTTCTAATTTCAACTTCAACTCAATAACTAAAATAAAAATAACATATTTTAATTAATTTATGTAAAACTATTAAGATATTAATATTTTTTTATAAATATTTATATTATTTATTTATTAACAAAAAGTATAACAAACTTTTTATATATATAATAACAAAACATTTTCATTTAATAATTATTAAAAGCTTTTATTATTATTAAAAAATATAAATACTTTATTTAAAAATAAACAAAATTTTAGTTGAAATTTTTTTTTATTTATTTGTTTAATATTAAATAATACATAAAAAACAAAAAAAAACAAACAAATTGCTTTTAGTAAAATTGACAAATCAATACAATAAAAATAAAGTATATATTATTGTTTAAAATAAACAATATTAATATATTTATTTCAAATATTTATTCTATAAATATAAAAATTTAATTATTATTTATAATAATAATAAAGTTATAATCAATAATTATACTAAATATAAGTATTACAAAAATATATGATAAAATCAATGATTAATACTTTTTAAATAAACAATTGTTTAATTATAATTATTGATAATAATACTACTGCTAATAAACATATTATGTTTATAATTAGCCTGATACATTTATTTAAAGTTGACGATGAATTATTATTATTATTATTAATATGATAACCAATGTAGGGATTACCAGTATATTGAATGTATTTAATAAGTATTACTAATCCATTTGATTTAGACATAAT